ACCCTGGCGCTCATCGGCCGCGCTTGCCCCGACCTGCGCGAACTCAACCTGACCGGATGCAGGAAGCTCTTAGACGAAGGCCTGTGCCGCTTGGTGGGCCTGGAGGACCTCGTCCCGCAGCCCACCGACCCGTCGGCCTCGTCGTCCTTGGCGCCTGCTCTTGCGGGTCCGTTGACGGTCGTAGCGCAGCGCTCTGAGGTGACTGCCGAGCCGGCGGCGGGCTGCACGCGACTCGAGAAGCTGGTGCTCCGGGGATGTTACCTTCTCACGACAGCCGGTCTGCTCCGGGCCATCCCAGTGCTGCTCAACCTCACCAGCCTCGACATCGGCGCCAACCGGAACGTGGATGACCACACACTGAAGGGCCTGGTGCCCTTCCTGCCCAACCTCACCTCGCTCTCCCTGGCGACCGCCGCCTCGGCCACAGCCTCACCACGCTCGACCTCGAGTGCATGCCCGGACTCACCAGAGGTGCTGTCCAGGTAGGTCTAAGTAGTAATAAATCCATGCCGTGCAACCAGGCCTGGAATATAAAAATATGATACTGAAAATATTCAGAAATTTATTTGGAAATCAATCTTAACATTGTGAAGCCCACCTCAGACCTTGACCATGTGATAAGGGCCCCACCATGGCTGAGTGAACTTCTTGCTCCACTGCTTCCACACTGGTGGCACATGCAACCAGACCTTCTTGCCCAGGCTGAACAGTTGGTCTGCCTTGTCATGATTGTAGCTCCAGCAGTTCCACTCTTGTGCTTTGAGTTGATGACCTTTATCTGCATGGAACACATGCATAAGCTGTTCCACTAGTCTGCTCTGATAGTTGCCTGCATCATCCTCTGCTTGTGCCTGAGGCAACCTGAGCAACATGTCAATTGGCAAGTAGTGATCCTGGCCAAACACCAAGTAGAAAGGTGTCTCCATTGTTGCTTTGTTGACTGAACAATGATAGGCCACCAGCATGTAAGGGATGTAGGTGTCCCAATTGTGCTGGTGCTCAGCTATGTACATGCTCAGCATGTTTTGTAGTGTTGAATTGAACCTCTCTGTCAAACTGTTGGTCTGTGGATGGTACATGGTGGTCTTGATGTGATGCACCCAGAGGTCATTGTTCATGCTTGACAGCACCTCATTCAGGAACTCCTTCCCTTGATCAGAGAGTAGGCACTCAGGTGCACTGTGGACACACACCAGTTGCTCCACAAACACCCACACCACTATCTCACCTGACATGCACAGCCACCAGTACTTGTGTTTGATGGTGGTGATAGTCTGATTCCATCTGAGGTGGCCTGCCAAGAGGTTGTTGTGGTGTGTGCATGATGACCTTGGTCCTCAATGCTGGTATTGCCAATCACATGAGTGTCCTGGTCTCTGCCAAGCCTTGTTGTGGCCATGCATGGCAATACAGCAACCCATTGAACAGTTTGCACTGCTCAGCTTCCAGTCACACTCATCACACAACTGCATCCTCTGGTAGCACATCCTCTTTCAAGAACCAAAGAATGGTGCCCATGAACAGGTCTGTGTGTTGCTCCCCACCAATGTCTTCCAGCAGGTGGTGCATCAAGCTCAACTCCCCCAACACCATGGGTTCCACCCCATCACTGACAGTTGACTGCCCAGTGCCACTCACGCCCACAGCCTGCCCACAGGGCTCCTCTGTGGTGGCCCATCCACCAGACTCATGTGTGGCCCATCCACCCACTTTGGGGGTGGTACCTTCACCCTCCTTGCTCATGGCCTGTCCACTAGCTTTGTTGTCACTGGGGGTCTCTCTGCGCCTGTTGCTTGTGGCCCATCTGTGCCCCCTATCTGTGGCCTCCTTACCCTCCTCACTCATGGCCAGTCTGCTTGCTTTGCTGTTGCTGGGGGAACCTCAGAGCCAAGCGCCTGTTGCCCATGGCCTGTCTGTGTGTCTCAGTGTCTATGGCTGACCCACTGCACATGTCACCCATCACTGGCACTGGTCTGTCAGGGCCAAACCAGTCCTCATCCTCAGGCCATGACCTCTCCCAGTCCTCATCTAAAGGCCATTCTGGCGCCACTGAGGCCTCTCCAAGCTGCTCTTCAACCAATGGTGTCTTGTCTTTTGCTGTGTGAGGGAGCTCCTTGGCCTCTCAATGTGTGGCTGCATGTGCCACATTGCTGTAGGGGTTGGTGCCACCTGTTGGACAAATTCCTGCCCTTGGATTGCTGCTGCCCTCTTTGCCTGTGGTTTGCTGACAACACTGACAATATCATCATCACTTACCACCAGAGGCCTGGTCATGGTGTTGGTGTTCATGTGCTTTGCACCTGGCTGGTACATGATGTTGAACTCATACAGCTGCAGCTTCATTGCCCACTGTGCCAGCTGACCATGTTGCTCTTTTGCCTCCATAAGCCACTTGAGTGCTGTGTGGTTGGTGATGATGTGGAAATGACTCCTGCACAGGTATTGATGACAGTATGATGTCCATGTTGTGCTGGAAACTGGCTGGCACATTGGTCAACCCAAATAGCATCACTGTGAACTCAAATGTGCCATGGAATGTGGTGAACACCATCTTATTGACATCCTCCTTGTGTACTGGTATTTGCCAGTAGCCAGACATGAGGTCCAAGGATGATCACCAGACTGAGCCTGTGAGCATGTCCAAGAACACAGGGCAGTGGGTAGCTGTCCTGCTTGGTGATGTGGTTCAGCCCATGGTAGTTGCTGAAATGGGTGGACCTGTCTTTCTTTGTCACCAAGACCACCAGTGAGGCCCATGGGCTGTGGGAACATGACCCTGGTGAGCAGCATCTTGTTGATCTCTGTCTTCTTGGTTGTTTGCCAGCAGCTCATGCAGCTGCTCCACCTCCACTGCTGACAGCTCTGGGTCTGTGTGACCTACCATTTCATTGATGTCTTTGTTGGTGGCAGCCACCACTGGCTCCCAGCTCAGCATGTCCTGGTATGGCGCCTCAGGACCGCCCTCCATTGACTCTGGACCAGACCTGATGACTGAGCACACCCAGTCCTCCTTGACTCACTCAGCCTCTGCCAGCAGGGTGCCAGCAGCAAGCTTGATGGGCCTTGTGGAGAAATTCACCATGTTGGTCACAGCCCAGCATTGGCCTTCCTCATTGCACCATGCATTGGCCAACATGTGAGCCACACATGCAGTCTTACAGCCATTGTTTTGTATTCCAGGCCTGGTTGCATGGCATGGATTTATTACTACTTAGTAGGTGGAGGTGAGTGGGGACTGGAAGGCAATGCGCCAGGTGAGATGGGGCAGGTCAGCTGGGATGGGTAGCCACTGGGGGTCTACACCCCACATATGATTCATGTTGTTGATGCTGGTGGGCAGGCTCACAATGTCAAGCAATGCAGATGAAGATCTGGATGGGAAGGGACAGGCTCATTTTTGTGGCTGTTGCCATTGGATGAGAAAGGCAGCAGCAGCCACACATGCAAGCACTGTCACTGCCACAGCAACAACCCACCCTGCATGATATACACAGGTTTGTCACCAAAACCACTGGTGGAGTCCAACACAACAGTACCTAATCCTCCACATACATGATTTAAATCATCAAAAAAATTAATTCTCCTGCCATTCTCCTCCCATTCATGGCTGACATTACACCATGTACACATACACACTCAACATGCAGGTCTCTGGCTGCTCTTCATTGGACATGCCAACAAGTCCTACACCTTCAATCCAGCTCTCCTTCAGCTTGAGCCTGACATCACCACATTCCAAATAAACATCATTTCTCAGATATACTCTATTTAAAACTATTTTTCTGTGGTACCACATCCCCAATAAACAAGGCAGATCTTTTCCTAATTAACATTCAGTTCTCTCAGCATAACTTGCCTTACCTCATTGAGAATGATGCATTAATTTATGACACACACTCATTTTAAATGAGTACAATTTATATGCTGATTGTGAATGGAAGATGTTGCCCCATGTGCATTCCCTTGTCCTTTCCTGGTTTACATTGACAGGGTGTTAGAACAATAGAAGCCACCCAGTAAAGGAGATGGTACAATCTTTGGCAAAAAATGTCTGAAGAAAAAACCAAATGAAAAAGAACAACAACAGTGACATAGGGATGGCACCAGGCCTAAAGTTCACTACTGATGAGTCAACCTCAACAGTAGGAAGAAGGGATGGATTGCTAGGACACAGGAGAGGAAGAGTGGGGGGAGGGGGATAATGGGGGTGGGGGGTGGCATGGTGAGTGTGGCTTGGGTGGTGGTGATTTGAGTGAGAAGTGGGGTGGGTATGGTTGGGTGGGGAGGGGCAATGAGTGTGTGGGAGAAAAGCCTATGGATGAAGCTGCAGCTTAACAGAGTCTGTTTTTGGCAACAACCAGCTGCTTCTTAGCCTTGCTGTTGCATGGCAACAATTTTAATACAATTTTTAATACAATTTTCTTTTTCACTCCAGGACAAGGAAGTGAGCCAAGGTGGGTGACATCGCCCAGGCCAAGCTGTCATCGGTCACAGTGATG